CTGTGGGGGGGATGTATTGGCTGCATACACCCCCCCAGAAAAGAAGACGGGCGAGGAGGTGGGGAGCCCTCTCCCCCCCCCTCACGGCGAGGCAAGGCTCTCCTCTTTATGGGTATTTCTGTGTGTGTGGTTTTTTTGGGGGGGGCAGAGCGACCCTGGCCACGAAGCTGAAGGCAAGTTGGCGTTATGGGGGGGCGCTGAAAGGTTTGACTGGGATCTGTGGGGGTCCATCACCCCCCCCAGGGATGGACAAGGTTTTTTGGGGGGTTAAGAGCCAGGCATCCCCTTCCCCCCCCCCAGAATTGGGGGGAAAAAGGGAGGAAGGGTCTGGTTCTGTGGAGACGCTTTAGAGATTGGGGAAAGGGGAGGGTCGGCTGGAAACTTTGGGGAGCCCCCCCAAAAAAACCCAGTAATCCAGGCTGGGCAATACTGGCTGTGGCCGCCTCTGGAAGGTTTTGGGGATAAGACCTAGAGGGGCAAGAAACCAGGGCTCAGAGCGGTGCTTTCCCCTCCAAAGGGGGAGGCCTGACCCTAGTTTGCCCCCCCCAAAAAAGGGAAGGATTGGATCCCGGAAGTCAAGGTGGAAAAGGCATGTTTACCTCTAAGGAGAAAAAAGGAATGTTCCTTTGGCACCAAAGTGAAGCGCGTAAGAACAGAACCCACCACCGGCTCCCAGTAACCCAGGGGGAGAGAAGAAGATGATGATGATGATGGAGAGGATAGGGCTAGGAATCATAGCAGTGACAGGAGTAACAACATGGAGAGAGAAGGACAACCATGACAACAAGGACGGTAACAACAACAACAACAAGCATGGTCACACCACTGTGAGAGTCATTTTAAAACCTTGGTCTCTAGGCGGAGTGGCTGCACTTTCTCTCTTTTTTTGCACTTATCTTCCCGTCCACTTCCCGGGTGTGCACGCCTGCCTAGGACGACAGAGCGGACGCCCACAGTGACTTATTTATTTAAAATATGTGTAACTTGCATTTGTCTCTCCCAACGATTCAAGGTGGCCAACCAAGGGCTAGGATTCACGAATGGAAAATCACTGTACAATGACAGCAGGATAAAAACGCACCAGGAGAGATTAGCCGCCACTCCTCTCCAGAGGCGGGAGTGAGTCGGAGGGCTTTGGAGAAATTTCCTGAGCCTGGATTGAGAAAGCACTTTGCTTGGGGCCTCTTTGAGGTGGAATGCAGAGAAAAAGAGAAAGAGGGGGTTCTGAATTGGATGGAGTTGAAAAGTGAATTTGGTTGGACGTGGCCTGAAAGTTTGGTGCGAGTCCTCAGGTTGTTTGTTTGTGACGACCGTTTTCCTTGGGGAAGATCAGTGTGGACAACAGACTCCCATCTGTAGAGATGAGAGTGTGGCATAGGGTCCGTTTGTGAGTCTTGTGCTGTAAAGGCCTTTTGTGCACTAAAATGCTTTGATACTGACAGAATGGAGTTTTTAAGCCGTTCATGCTTGTGAATTATATTAGCTCAAGAGGAGGTCTGAAAAGGAGATGCTGAAACATTACAGGTATATATTGTGAACTGGGTATATGAGAGAAAAAAGAACCCACTAATCTATAAAACCTACCCTTCCATAGAAATAACCCAAATGTCCAACCATTATTTCATTTTTTTCAGAAAAATAAAATAAAATGCAAATTAAGCCTGCAAACCCTGTGCACGTTACTTCCAGGTACACGTGCGTGCACAAGGTTGCATCCACTAAGCACATGTGAAGATGAGTAACTTCCTGCTCAAGGTTTGGAGGGCATTTCTGGTGTGTCATTGGTTTTTGTTAGGCTAAAGCGAATTCTGTCCTAGTTTTCAGCAAACAGAAAAGACTCAGACCGGTTGCTAAAACAGAAACTGAAAACCATTTTGAACACAAAAAAGCAACTCTCTAACTTGAACGTTTTTCAATTAAAATGTACCTTTATTTGAGTTCTCTGAAAATCCAGGATAAGACAGTGAGTCAGGGGGCAGGTGAACTACTCTTCGTATCTCAGTGTCGTTTTCCACATTTCTCTCTCTCTCCCCCTATGTGATACCTGTTGAGACGGAGTGAAGGAAGGCAAAGTGAATCACAACATGGATGTGTTGGGGGAACTCTATCACCAGAGGAGTAGAGTGTTCCCTGCTATTCCTTTTGCTCCCAGACTAGTTAAATTCAGTTTCTGGGAAGGATTTCTACTATTCCCTGAACCTCCCCTCTCTAGAAGGAAACTTGCCTTTCCTCCACACATTCAGGGAGTCTAGGGCTGGGAGTCCACAATCCAGACCCACTCCTTTCTCTTAAAGGAGGGTATTACAAATAGTGGAACATGGGCGGGAATCTTCTAGATAAAGTTTATCTCCTTTCTTTCTTTTTTGTGCTCAGTTTGGGCTGATTAACAGGTACAGAAAACATACACCTAATTCAGGGGAAAGGCCAGAAAATTATCCTGGGAAGAACCTAATAAGGCAGACCCAGCATGGTTGTATGCATAAAAACCTCTCCAGACATCTAAAATGTTGCTGCTTGCGAATCCACAGTGGTATCTACACTAAGTGCTAAGGTTTCCATGGGACATCAAAAGCCATGTACACCATATAGTTGTCATAGGTTGGGTTCAGCTTCTTTGTACCTTGTGGGCATTTACCCAGGTGGCTTCTTATGAAGAGGCAAAGGGGGAGGAAGCCTGGCTTCATTTCTTCCTCCAAAGTTGCATAAAAATAAGTCTAACTTGTCTCTACGCTCTAGTTGGCGGTGTATATACCTATAGACTATTTCTCCATTTCACACTCAGGAATCCCTAGTCCAGCTCTAGACGGGTGTTCTGTAGCATACAAGCTTAGTTGTGAACAGAAATGCAGTAATCTCACATTATTGGTGGAGAGGAAATATTCCAGGTGTTTGCTTCTTCTTTTCAGGACAAGGAAAGTCTGTGCCATTTCTTAGATCGCATCGAGCATTGTTTCATTCTTGATACTCCTGGGATTTGTTGTTCCAGGTGCTGCTTGAAGTAGAGAATCATGGCATAGAAATGTTAAACAAGACATAACATTCAAGAAACTAAGGACTGTCAAAATGAAACAACTCTGTACAGGCTGTTCATTTGCAAGTCGTTGGTACTCTTTTACAAGAGGCTTCATGCTCAGTATCACGCCGAAGTAGAAGGAAGAATATTCTCAAACCCAAGGCTTGCATGATAACATCCCCCACTCTGGGCGAAATCTTTATGCCATTGTAAAATTTGGTGGTGGTACTGCTTGTGTACCTTAGAAGCTGTTTTTTTTTTCCCAAATGGGGTTGGCTGGTTGGAAGATCTCTGTGTCATGTGGTGTTTTTTTTTTATTTTAATTTTGCTTTCTGCAGTGTTCTGCAACCACTCACAAGCAGTCAACGTCTCCCTTGACCAGGCATTCTCAAAACTTGCTATAAGTTCAAATTTGCCATCTCCGTTACTTCCCTTGTTCCACTTTCATGCTTTATGTCATGTTCCTTTCCCTATTCAGAACAGTGGTGTACTCTGTGCAACACTAAGCATGCATCTCATACCACAGTTATAATAGAGGCCCAACCTATGCTCCAAAGTTGGGCACAGATTGTTTTTTTCCCTCCAGTGTCTTCAGCTGAGGCAGTTCTCCGGAAGTGACGTGAGTCTCAAGATTTAAGAGTACAGTACGAAGGCTGCAGGGGCCTTTCAGCCCATGAATACCTGTACATTTTGTCAGTTATTCCACTTGAATTCCAAGGTGTTCTGGTTGCTGCTCACCTAATGCTCGGCACGGATTCTAAGAGTCAAGGCTTCAAACACTTAAGCTGTTTGGCCTTCGTGCACACCAGTGTTAGTGTGTAAATCAAATGCCTTGAAAGTGGAGCTTCCCTTTTTATGAAGACACAAGTCACAGATTTTGGGCCAGCGAGCAGTTTACAAATCCTACTGACTGTCCACACCTCTGCACGTTCTCTTCATCTCACCCACTGTGAACTCTGTGTGTGCTTTCAAGTTATTTTTATATACAGTAACTCTACATTGTAAACACTACCTTTCTGAAGTAGCATAACTTGTATACTGTATCACAAAATACCTATTCCATTATGAACACTACCTTTCTGAAATTCTTATTCCTTTGCCTCCATGCAGGTCAGCCAATTATTAAAGCATAAACACTGCACACCCCGAGTTCTTTAACAGGAAATGCAAAGTCTGAAGCCTCCAGGGCCTCAGGCATGCAAAGCATTAACTCTGTGAGTGGACTATAGTGTTGAATTTTGCAGTAATCCCACATTATTGGGCTTTTGCTCCTTATGCCTGCAGGCAAAGATGTTGAATATATAATGTATCTCACTCTTAATTTTTTTCTATCTTCTTTTCAGATTGGGGATGATGAACAGGGTTATGACTTAGACTTGTTCTGTATACCGAAACATTACGCGGAAGATTTAGAAAAGGTTTACATTCCCCATGGACTTATTATGGACAGGTTTGTTGGACTTAATGGCAACATGGAACACAGCTGTTTCCATGCAGGCTTTTACGTGTTTGCTTTAAAGAGGGTTTTAAAAAAGATAATTCTAGCGTGTTTGTGAGGAGTATTGTACAGTACTTTGAAATGTTTTCTTCTTGTTCCTTTCCTACTGGAGATGGGATGCCTTTTGGACACAGTGGCTGTGAGCAATGACATTGCTTTGCCTCTTAAGCAGTCTCCCAAGTTGTTCAGCCAATAAATTCTTCCGACAAATCTTTATGAGTTTATTTTTCCCTGAATGATCAGCTGTAACTTGTTTCTCACAACATGACCAAAAGCATTCCAACGTTCTTCAGTGTATACATCTTTTAAACTGGACATATATAGCTTTGCTCTGAGATTAAGAAAGGGAGTTTACATGGGGGGGAACGTCTGTGCCATTAGAGAGATGCTCTGAGATGAACACAATTCCTTGTACTTATCACTGCATTTCTAGCAAACAGTTTCCAGTCTTAGATCTTTAATAAACAGATGCCTGTAATGGGTTTGCGTTTTGGCTACAAAGGACATGCTAGAAAAATGTTAATGTCTTAGCTCTCCTTCTGCCGTGCAAAGCCAGTGTTCAGGCCATTTCATATCAATATATCATACAACCTTTGTATAACCATCTTCTAATAAATGAAGTAGAAATAGCATCTTTGTTGGTAAAGCATGGGGCAGGTGACTATAAAATAAGCCATCTCGCATATATCCAGATTAGTGAAAATATGAATGTCAGGACAGAATGTAAACTGAATCTGCATGCATATTTGTGTAATGTAACCTGTATCGAAAGCCCACCTTGTTGGCATACTAGCCCATAACAATTTGGAATGATGACTTTTCCATTTTTAATTGCCTTCTTCTCAGCCCTACCCTGTTTCTGAATGACAGAGATGTTTCAGTGATGCTTCTTGTAATCACGTTCAGGCTTTAGTATGTTCTGCAAACTGAATGGAATTGTCTGTCGAAGAATCTGTACGCCCTGTATCTTTTTGCTAGTTGTCCAGAAGTAATCAAAGACACAGATTTACTTTGGCTCCCGTTGCCCTATAAAATCAAGAGCGTTTGGCAGCACTGCTATTAGATTAACCTTGACAAGTGAGAAAAACCAGAAATGTCATTGACCAGTAAACAGTCCTGTTTCTTTTTATCTGGCCATGTGTGTTTGGTAAGACTGGGTGCTAGGCTCAGACATAGTCAAGGACTAAACAAGTGATAGCAGATAGCTCTTGTTCTTGTTAACTGTTTGCCTAGTATCTCAGCCGTGGGCTCAGCACAGTAAAATGGGTTCTCCTCTTTTTCCACAGGACAGAAAGACTGGCACGGGAAATTATGAAGGCCATGGGGGGCCATCATATCGTTGCTCTCTGTGTACTGAAGGGGGGCTACAAATTCTTTGCGGACTTGCTGGATTATATCAAAGCCCTGAACCGAAACAGTGACAAGTCTATCCCTATGACCGTTGACTTCATTAGGCTGAAGAGCTACTGTGTAAGTGCCTCTGCCGGACGTTTGCCAGTTTCTGTCTGGCTTATCTCCAGCCATAATTTGTGACCCTTGATCCGTCTTCCACCGTAGGTTCCCAGTGAGTGGCAGGGAAGAGAGAAAGAGCTTATGCCACACCAAGCTTTGGGACAGCTCGTGCGGCTTTCCGGTTTTATGCTCCCATAGAGCAGGAAGGGAAGGAACAGCTGCCACAGATTGCCTGCTCCAGAGCAAATAAAGCTAGCCTCTGGCGGGCTAAGAGGGCACCAGGCATTTTCTGTCTGGGTCCACAGTCCAGTGAGTAGGGAAAGAGGATTTTGAAGCTGAAAGCTGTCTTTGCTAGGTCCGGTTCACGCAGGCTTCTTTTTTTGTACCAGTACCTCCCTTGCAGTGGCAGAAATGCTGCGGGACAACACTGCAGTGTACCGGAAAAATGCATGTTTAGATGCAGCAGCTAAGTTTGGGTGCCGCAAAGAGGCAAACGCTAGAACTGCTCCGGAAGCCAGTATTTTACAGCCGTTTAGCTGAAGCTTCAGTAAAAGTCGATCTGTCCCATCAGATTCATAGATGTGGCCACCCTGGGTTTTGCTCGTCCTTGCTTTGAGAAATGACGGACTCTCCTTTACATTTTCGTTTTAAAGAGTTTTTCTGCCCGAATGTATTTGTTTTATTTATTTCTTTGATTTATATGCCACCCCATTTCTGTTTATCTATGGAAGAGGCAAAGTGTTGTTGGTGATTGTTCCATATAGCTTAGATTCCTTTATTTTATTCAAAGTCCTATGCCAGTAGATGCCAGGGCAATATTTTACCACTGCAGAGAAAGAAAATACTTGACGCTTAAAGTAATCCGTCCATGTAAGAAAATCCTAAACCAAGACTACAGAAGGCAGCATCTGGAATGCATTATTTCTGTGATTCGGATTTTGTACCTCTATGATTTCTCTCTCATTTACCTACAGATCTGATTAGGGTACTCAGCAAGGGGGAAAATATGTGGAAACGACTAAAGTGGTAACATAATTTCATAGTTTTTATAGTGTTGACTGTGAAATTAGCAATTAAATTGTTTAGAGAGTTTAGTAGGCGGACATTAAGGGAGCTTATGAAACTGAATATTGATGTTTCATGAGTGATTAATATATTCTTTTTTTAAAAAAAAACTTTAGACACACACCAAAAAACACCAACTTTTTGAGGCAGTCCTGGCGGTTGGCAGAATGAAGGATGTTCTTAGGATGTTGTCCTGTTCTTAGAATGATGTATTCATTGGGACCTAGAACAGGTGTCATTTTTTTCTGAGATCTGTTATCCTCTGAAAGTAACTTCTGATGCTCACCATGTGATGAAGGGCTGAATGGAATAGTTTTCTTGTGTTCTGTACCCGCCCACAATGCACAGCTCGCAGCTCATATTTAAAATTAATAGAGAAGGAGACCTGCAGTTTGCTCCTGACTATCTCTGCAGTTTTCTTGGTTCTATGAGAATATTGGCCCACTCTTTTATTTGTTTGTCTGCTTATGCACATCTCATTTTAACGTTTTCTGTTCTTCCTTCTCTAACACTAGAATGACCAGTCAACTGGTGATATAAAAGTAATTGGTGGTGATGACCTCTCAACTTTGACTGGGAAGGTATGTCCTAAAAGAAGACATGTAGAAGTTGCTGTGCAACATTTATGTAAGCAAATGCATTTTATAATCCAAGCAATAATCCAGTAAGGTGGTGCCTGAAAGTCTGGTAGATCTCCCAGAATTGAGAACTGTGAGAGTTTAGTCCAAAAAAAGAAAAAATCCCATTCCTCGGAATGCTTATTGTATTTTATCAGATATCTGCAATTTCTTATTTTAGATTTTATTTATTAAGTATTTGTCCTTGGTGATTTTAACTGCAGATTGTTAGTGCTCATATAAGGAAAGAAGGAAATAAATAGATGATGGCATTGTAATTCAACTTACTATCTATGCTGTGTCCATTGCTAAACTTGGCATGAAATACCTCTCATTGATTCCACCTAAATAAAAGGTGTTCAAGGCACAATACTTTTGAGCGTTGTAAGATTGCAGTGCCAATGATATATATGAAATATGTAAGGAAAGATGCTGCTGTGTGATAACTTGCCTTGTTAAATCATTTATCACGAGAAAATCACTTGGCTGCTCACCCCAGTTGGTCCTCAGCCATACCTCATGTTCTGGCTTTGTATGTCACCTTCGGTTTTATTCTTTTTATTATACCTCAGGTTATTTCTGCCTGCACTTCTAGTCTAGTCTCCAGTCATATATGGCAACTGATCACAGAGACCTCAGAAACTCTCCTGCTGAGACTTTACATGCTCTCCCTTTCTACTTCTTTTTAATCCCCATTTCCTGAAGGATAGACGTGCAGACGTATGTATTGTCTGCTAATAAGTGCCTAAACTAGCTGAAAAATACCAGCTAATTAGAAACAGCAGGATGTTGCATATAGTGCATTTGATTTGGTTCTCTCTCTCTCTCTCTCTCTCTCTTGGTTCCTTAAATTTACATTGTTAACTACATTGGCATTAGCAGTTTACTTTAAAACTACAACAAGCCTGTTTTGAATCCAAAAGAATGCACTAATGAATGTTAGAACCTTGAAAAATGTGACCGGAGGGCACAATTTGTAGCTATTTTCTACTGGTTTGTTTCATACATGAGACATCTGCCTATATTTGTGTGAATGTTGAATTGGGGAAATGGGAAATGTGAAATGAAGACAGTCATCCTGGCATCTGCCTATATTTGTCTGAATGTTGAATTGGGGAAATGTGAAATGAAGACAGTCATCCTGAAAAAGCTTGGATGAATATCAGTTGGAAAAGCAAGTTTGACTTTAAAATACTCATGGGCTTCTTCTTTTTTTCTTTTTCTTTCTTTTAGAATGTCTTGATTGTAGAAGTAAGTATTACAGTCCAATATGAATGTCTTTAATGGGCCTGATGCGTAGTAGCAAAACTGTGTGTTAATTCTTACAGCTTGCTTGCGCACTGCAGAATGTCAACCATTCCTTCGTTCCAGACTGGCATTTAGCAGTGTTGATTAGAGTTCTAAGAATATTTCTGACCCTTAAGTAACCAAGATTGGGAAGACCCTTTAACTTGAAAATTAATCTCCTTCCTTTGTAAATGGATGGCCATGAATTTATGGTTGAACTGATTCTGCTTAATTTCATTGTGAATAACTCAAGTGCAGCTTGATAATATCTCCCACAAAAGATGTGTGATTCTTGTGAAGGCCATGTTAAGAGATGATCAGGTTTTGGAAGGCATTTCAACTCCTGAGACTGTATCAGTATCCAATTATGTTCCCCTCATGATTCTACATTGACTGATGGATGTAAATGTTCAGCCAGAATTTTACTCATGCTTACATCTATGATGTGTTTGTTTTTACTGTTCAGGATATAATTGACACGGGCAAGACAATGAAGACTCTACTGTCTCTCCTCAAGCAGTACAATCCAAAGATGGTAAAGGTAGCCAGGTAGGTTTTGATTGCTGTTCGTCGGCGTTGTATTTTGCTTTTTCACAAATGTAAGGAGAATGTCAAAACAGCAGCGCCACAGTTTTGAAGCAGTCGCGCACCTCTTCTAAAACTGGGTATTAACTTCTCACTCCGTATTTTGCTCTTTTTCTGATGTGGGTTCTTGGGGTGCTTTCACATAGGGCTTTTAATTTGCAGCTGCCTTACATGATTAACAGAATTTTATAGGGGGTCCCCTTGCAGCTCTCTCCTATTTTATTCCCAACACTTCTTCTGTCTTTTTTCTTAATGCGAAAAAAGGATTATGGAGGATAAACGCAGTGCCTTTGATAGAAAGGAGCTCTCCATTTGGAAGCATCCTTGGTTACTTTGAAAAAACATGTGCTTAAAATTAGAAGCCATTGGTTCTCCGTTGTCTGTTTTGTCTGGCCAAGAGTTAGCACTAAAGAGCTGATTTATAGAAATAATTTTATTGTAAGTAATTTCAACTTAAGTTTAGTTTTTAATCTAAAATGTGAGTGCCATCTTACATCATATGCCTTTTTAAATACATAAGGTAAAATCCTGCTTCATAACTTTATTCCGCATGTAAACTGGATCAGGCACCAGAAACATTTTATTTACACTAATTAAAAGCTTCCTATTCCACCATTTTAGCTTCTGAGACTCCCAATGGCTCCCTTTTGCCCCGGGGAAGCCTTTGGGAGTCTCAGAATGGGGGGGGCGGGAACCTTTAAAAAAATTAAAAATTGCTGTTGGCAGCCTCAGAATCTAAAATGAGGGGGATAGGAGAGTTTTCATGCATGCTACTTAGTAACTAAAACAAATCAACACTTTTCACTTGCTTTAAAAACATGATACTGCCTTCCTAAACAAACATCTTTGCTGGTCTTACTTTAATTGGCTTCCAAATTCCATTGCCTTTTGGCATGTTGGGAAGAAACTAAAGAGTTCTTTTACATGGTCTTGGGCCTTGGAAAAAACTTCTGATACTTCTAGGAGATTTCCAGTTTGGGAAAGCCAACCAAGACGGGGTGGATATGTTTTGTAAAGAGGAGGCAGCTTGCTTCTCATAGGGGTCTGGAACATTGATGGGTTTGTCCAGTCAAAAAGCAGTCATGGTTTGTGCCTATCTGTTTCTCTAGATAAAGAGGTGCTCCTTGAATCTGGGGTTGGGATCCGGACAGGAGCTATTTCTAAAGAAATGTGGTTTCTCATTGTGCTACGTTCCCTCTCGGGCATGGGAAAGTGGTACAAATGACTCAAATTATTTACTGATTTGAAGCAGCATGCCAACAAGCTTTTCTTTTTGTGTTACCAATTGTGTGTAGCCACAACCAAGGTGCAACCAGAGATAAGAACCAGAGATAGGCAAGGGGACCAAACTATTTCCTGATGTTTGCCCGTCTTGGTGAACCACCCTTGAAAGAGTAGGGCTGATAGTAACCTGACAAAGTATGTATGTAAGAAACTGCCTTACAATCGCACCATTGGCCTAGGTAACCCTGCATTGTCAGCTCTGACTGGCAGCAGCTGGTCAGGGTTTCAGGCAATGTGCTTTTCTACCCTTGCCTAGAAATCCATTGTATTCCCCCATAGTCTCCCCTTCCAAATATCAATCCATCACAACTCTGTTCAGTTTCAAAAAACCATGTGAGATCCATGTATCCAAGGTAGCATTTTGCTTTCCACTCTGTAGCCAATTGAGGAGAGCCCCTGTCCACGCTGCAACTCTGTAAGAATACCATTTGGCTGCAACAAAAATATAGCATCTTGGTCGCAAAAGCCGGAGAGAAGTTACTTCTTTTCTGCCCTTGGCCAGCTTTAAGTGATTTCAGGCTAGGGGGCATAACTGTGGCAAAAAATGCCCCTGGAGAAGGTGGGGAGATAGTTTGACTGGAAAACCTTCTGAGATTCTGAGAGGGTTGCACTTGAGTGTCAACAGGGCAAACATTGGGTATGTCTGACGGAGAAGGACAGTTAGAGGGTTCCATCTGCACTTCCCTACTTTTTGGTTTGATATTTATATTGTGACATACCTAGTGGTTTGTCCTCCAGCCAGTGTGGAATATGTGGGTTTCGTTCTACCTGTAATTCATTCTGCATGCTTGGCATCTTTTTAACAGCCTGCTGGTCAAAAGAACACCTCGAAGTGTAGGATACCGGCCTGACTGTAAGTAAATATTATGCAAGGATTTAATGTACATTAAGTATTATGTTTAAGAGGATGATAAGGATCCCGGTAATCTGACATATTAGTGTGGGGTTGGAAGGACAGAGATTTTGGAGGGGGGGGGAGAATATGGGGATCACTGCACTGAGGAGCTTATGGAATGGGAGGTAAGGATGAATGAAAAGAGAGAAGAGTATAATATAGATTTAGTGAGTATAGATTTAGGAATGTGACTGGACTTGTATACATCCTTGTTACACTTCACAACATCCAACAATTTTATTTTAAGGAGAGATAAACAGAAGGATTTAAAAGCAGAATGGCTTAATAGGGGTATTCCTGTGCATATTTACTAGGAGATACATCTGTCTGTCTTTGTTCAGTGGGGATTTGGTGAGTCAACTTTTGTGTATGTTCCATTGATTCAAATGGGCGTACTCTACTTCTTGTATTTTTGAGCAGTTCTATCAGCTGAAAAAGACAGCTTTTATCAATGAAGAAGTTAGACTATTGAAGAAATGGCACAAATAATTGACTGTGGTTTTGTAGAACACTGCCTAAGCTTTACACCTTAATGGATTCTTTTTCTTTCCAGTTGTTGGATTTGAAGTGCCAGACAAGTTTGTGGTTGGATATGCTCTAGATTATAACGAATACTTCCGAGATTTGAATGTAAGTATCTTCTGGCTAAAAACCGAAGACTGCTCTCTTATTCTCACCCTGCCTGTCTTCCCCTCAGGGGTCCTCTCCTTTCTGATGATGAAAACAAAAAAGGTAGAACAAGGACTTAAAGAGATTTGGACAGTTCTTTTGGGCAACAGTAGAGAGAACCTTCTGGGTCCTGTGGGCAAAGCTCTTCTTTCCCAAACAGTCTTGTCCAGGGGAGGAAAGGCTGGGTGTGTGTGTGTGCCTCAGTCACTTTAAATCCGTTCCTGGGCCAGTCTTGCAGGATCATGCTGTTGTGTTCCACGACTGTTAGCCCAGAAGGACCACCAATCTAGGTTCCCCTTTTTGTAGGGAATTATGCAGTAAGAGCCCTGCTTTATAATAAGAAAGATCCGTCTAACTCAGCATACAGCTTCACACGGTCATCTCAAAGTGCTTTTTTGGAAGTTCATCAGGAGAGTCCTAAGACAAAAACAAAAAAACTTTCCTCCAGATGCTTCTCCCCACAACAACTGGTTCTCAGAGTACGGCCCTTGATAGATGAATCCTCCATGAATTTGTCTAATCCCCCTTATAAAGCCACCTAGTAAGCTGCTGGGCATTACTGGCTTGTAATTTTATACAGTATTGTCCAAAGGACTCTGTTTTGTGCATCCTCAACCCACCTGCCACTTACTTTTATTGGTGGCTTCAGATCTTAGCACTGTGGCTGTCGGGGTAAAAATAAATTCTCCATACCACGCATAATTTTATCGACCTCTGTGATGATGTTGTGTGATAGCCTGCTCCCCGTCACCTCCTTGATCGTTGTTTTTTCCAAGTGAGAAATAGGAAAGGGGGAAACTTTCCTGTTTTTAAGGTGCAACCCTTCTCACTCTTCTTGCGTGGATTTGTCTGAAATTTTAAAACTGAGCCTCTCATGCAAATGGAGATCATCCTCTAGCCCAAAAAATCCTCATGCTTCACTCATTACTATGACTGTGGAAAGATACAGACACGCCCTAGTGCCAGCAGGCAGCAGCTTATGAAGACATGGGTTCATGAAAGTGTGTGCCAAATAAAACTTGCCATTCTGTAAGCTCTCCTTGCGAATACATGGATAAAAAGCAAGAAAATAAATATAAAGCACCTTTTCATGTGGTGATTGGATGTTATTTTTTTTAAAAAAAGAGCAGTGTGGCCCCCATACTGTGTAAGGCTCTGTAGCTGAGGATGCAGAGAACTTCTTTGCACCGTGCTGCAGAAGACACAGGTATTTGATGCTAAGGGGAGGATGATTTTGACTCTCACTTCAGCATTTGCTTATGTGGGAGACAAGAAATTGGTATATAGTCGTGGGCTTAGCTGTCCCAAGAACCCCAGCGTGAGGGCAGAAGGAATGGCTGGACTGTTTCTCAGCTATCTTCTCATCCGGTTCCTTTGGTCCCAGAGCGTTTAATGTAAACCAAAATGGTACTTGGAATGTATTTTCTGACAGTTAACAGTAAAATGGTAACAGTGACTTGGGACAAGCCTCTATAGAATGCTGATTTCCTAGCTGTTAAGTTCTAATACACAAAGTATTTTTTTGTTTTCTGTGTTTCAGCACATCTGTGTGATAAGTGAGACTGGGAAACAGAAATACAAGGCGTGACAGTGCGGGTTTCAGGGCATTCTGGAGCCGACATCCACAGCATTCATTTTCTGTTGCCTTAGGCTTTAGACACCAGCTTAAAGCTGTGGAGTGTTCCAACCTTGTTGTCATTTGCTTGCTATAATTTATTGCATGTACAGTATGGAAATCTTGTCTTGTTCATTTACATTGGAAGAACTAACAGGGAGTGCAATTGTTCACCTCTTTTCTCCCCCCCCCCATCCTCTCCCATCTTTTTAAAAATTTGCACTATGGATCCTACTGATTCTGGCCCCTCCCCTTCTGGGAATTTGCTGCGTGTTGGACCCAAGTTTATCTCTCCGAGACATGACATTTCTTCCCCCTTCTTTAAACCTCATCTACTCCGAACTGAAATAGTTATAAGTACTGTAAATGTATAAGACGTTTTAAGATGGGAAATTATATTAGTAATATTTTTTTAAGAAAACAAGTAATTTAAGTTTTATATTGTAATTAATTCAGAAATGGGGGTGATTGTTGGATAGCCGCTCTGGGGAGTGGGGGCACTGTACCCTGCGAAGGAGGAGGCATCAGGGGGCAGCTGTCGATAGATGGTGTGGTCTTGAAAGAGTTGTGAACACTGTTCTGCTAAAACTGCTTCCTCTGGAGTTGCCTTACTTGCCTCTTGCAGGGATTCTGAATAGACAATGCCATTTTGCCCTGAAAGGACAGCAAGTGACAAATGAGAATGTTTAAGCACCTACGAAGCTTTATGATTCCTGCAGGCACAATGGCACAGTCTGTGGAGAACTGCTGTTATACAAGTCCTGTAGGAGAAAACAGGAATACCTTTCCACGAGGCACGCACACCGTATGTCCCTGGTGGACTGGGGCTTAATTTTATTTTCCTTCTCCATCAGCTTAGCAGAGTTGCCTTTCAGGTCCAACAAGCTTCATGTGAAAAAACTTCAAGTGAAAAAATGATTGTAACATTGACTGTATGGTGTGCAGAAAACCAAGATTCTTTAAAATAAAGCCTGTTTGTCTGAAGGTGGTTTTTGACACAGGAGGTGTCCTTGCATATCTGTCGTGTGTCAGTCTCATGAATGGCCTCCTTCCCACCAAGGAAGCAAGCTCTGGGCGAGGCGGTGAGGGCAGGATGGTGCTTTGAGTCAGATAAGCCTGCAACTAACCAAGGGGAAAGGAACACACTGTTTGTTCAGCTCTGGCTAAGTAAACACTGAAGATGAAGCATTCATTAAACACTCGTACGTGGACAAGCCGAGGTTGCTTCGCAGTTTATCCCATTGCTCTTTTACCAGATTCCATACGAACACTTCAATTAGTTGGTTCCATCCTGACTTACATACCGTATTTTTCGCACCATAAGACACACTTTTTTCCCCACAAAACGGGTGGAAAGTCTGTGCGTCTTATGGGGCAAAGAAAACAGATTATATTTTCCTGTTTTCTTCTCCTAAAAAATTGGTGCGTCTTATGGAGAGGAGCGAAAAATACGGTATATTAACTAGCATTCCCCTGAGCTAAGACATACTCAATGTTTTTAGCTTTAAATGTTGTCTTTAAATTATGTAAGTCGCCTTTTTAAGGTGAAAGGCAGAGTAAAAATAATTTAAATATCAGAAATATATAGACTGATGAGAAATCAAAACTATTCTACATGTTGTTTAGATTACTGAGAGGAACAGAGGTAACCTTTGGGTCTATTGAGTTGACTGTGTAAGTGGATAAATGTTCAGTTGCAGCCATGCACGGAAGGTTCAAGCCAAATGCTTTGAGGAAGACATGTTAACTTCGAAACAATGATCGGGTGGCCTTACTCAGTCCCTGTGTATTGTGGAGAATGTCGCCCTCTGCTGAACAAGCAACTTGATGCAAAAGCACATACTGCTAAGCTTGATGAGTTACAGCATTTGAACCCGACTAGAACAGGCAGATGTGGATCATGCCCACTGAGCATGGCGAGCTGAAGAGCAGGATCAACAGTGTGTCAGAGTCTGCTACACATAGGCAGAAATCCTGTTGCTTAGTACAGTCAGTTGCACTGGAGTAGGCCCATTGAATCTGAATTGGTGAATCAACTTCGTAAGTGCTATTGATTCAAATGGGCCTACTCTAGTTGCAATTTTAGCATAGCAGACTTACAGATGAGTTGACTCATCAAGTCCCCACTGATTCAATGGGCCTACTCTGGTGCAATGCACCATGCAAAGCGACAGGATTTCAGGCATAACTTACTACCGGCTCTTCCCTTGCAGCCTCTAAGAATGCCTTGTGCCCCCTTTCTAGTCAGAAGGGAAGATGAGGGTCAAGTGGGCTGTGCCACCTAGGACTGCCCTGGCAATAAAGTTGGAATATGGTGTCACAAGTGCCTCTAAACTTGCATGTGGAATTTAGTCTACATACTACTAAAGCCAGACTTGCACAAGGCATGTCAAAGAAGCTAACAATTGGTACCCCAAAAAACCAGCTGCTGTTCATCTCATTTGTTCATCTCTTTTTCCCCCCGCTTGTCTACTTTGTCCTATTTCTTTTAGTCACCCTATCTTTTTAGGGGAGCTGTCTTCACACTCCTACTCCTTTGTGTGGCTCCACCTTGACCTCAAACTTCATGAAGTGTTTACCTCAAACGCTACGCTATTAACTCATTCCAGTAATCTTTCGTTAAGGCTCCTCCACCTTTCTTCCTGCCTTCCCATCTATTCTGCAACCTGCCTTTGGACTTTTTTCTTTGTTTTGGAAATTAGAACTTGCCCCATAAAGCTATTTTAATGATTTTAGTTCTGCCTTTATCCCATTTAAATCCCATCCCAATTCGCATCTTCCATCGCCTGAACTGCAAAACCTGCCCACGGCTGCTTCCTGAGCAAGGAGAGAACAGAACAGTCTCACAGCCGATTGATGCCAAGAAACGTTACTTAAGCAAAATACCATATAATTAGACACTAAAGAGACAAAGGAAATTAAAAATAATAGGTCTAGCCTTCTGCACCTAGGGAAGTGCTGAGAATACGCTTGTTAAATGCACTGCCGTATCTCCCTTTCTCTGCAAGACCTGTGAAATGGGTAGTTGGTATGACTGAAAAGCCATTGGCTATGATTGAGGGTGGGAGCTCAGCCTACCTAGTTAACAGCTAGTTAAGTTACATGTTGTCCAGTTGGAACCAACCTATAGCAACCCTAATTGGGTTTTCAAGGTAAATTAGACATTGAAGGAGCTATTTCACCAGTTCCTCTCCTCCAGCGAGTCTCCTTGGATTCAAACCTTAGTCATCCGAGTCCTGGCCTGTCACTCTATCCACTGCATCACACTGGGTTCCCATAGTTAATATCTTGGGGTCTAAATATTGAGCTAGAGTTAGAAAACATGACAGAAAGAGTATGTTACATATTTGGGGACTGCTGTATCTGTGATCTGAATGACACGGGAGTGTTTGAATGATGGGCTCCAGATGGTGCTTAGTTCTTGCCCTGGGCTTATGCTATATTATCACAGACTAAATAATGGTAGACTGATGGCAGTAGCCTCACTCTCATCATCAGTCTTGGGGGAGGGGGGAAGCCTTCCTTCTAGAGCTAGAATTCCATATGGGGAGTGGGGGGGGGATGTGCCATCTCTTTGGGATCTGGACCTCCTTTGGCTCTCATTATGCTTCGCTGCACTATTATCTGTATATGGAGATTTAAAGAGGCTCCTTTTTTCCGCTCAGTTTGTTGTGTACATGTCGCACTGATCGATTCTGAGCACCTCCATGGGCTGTTCACAAGGACGACCCCGCTAGTGGGCAGAAGGCAGCAACGCAACAGCCACCGCAACCAGCAGAGCCTGTCACCCTTCAAGAGCAAGTGCTGATTTTTCTGTCGTTGCATTCCTCGGTACATCTCGTCTCGGCTCTCCTTGGTGCCACTGTAACAAAAACAATATAGGAAGCTCCACACCAGCAATGGCCCGTTTGCCCGTCTGTGAAAGCGGCAGGCCGGCCTTCAGGGTTTCGGTGGTCATTGTGCGAGAAGCAGCAAGCGCGTTTTCTCCTGCTCCAGAGAGTAAGGTCCAAACGGAATGGTTCAAATAAGCAAGGAAGGAAGCAGAACTCTGCAGGGAAACTGATTGCCAGCAAGAGCCCTTCAACGCTGGAAGGCATCGTCTTCCTAAAGGGATGCCTAGCATGGAAACCCTTCTAGGAAACGGCAGGTTTCTTGTTGGGCAAGTTATTCGTGGCCTTTTCGTTGCCCCCTGCTTTCGCCTTTGTGGTCCCCTCCCTCCCAGCATCACTATCCTTGCTTCTGGGAGCCATGACTCAGTATCCCTGTCCTGATGCCCACCCACGGCTGGTGGGTACCTCCAGCACGGCTTTACGAGAACCAGAAACTGCCAGTGGAATCCACACAGACGGACTTGGGACAGCCGTCCCCCGTGATACCCTGGGGAAACAGCCTCGGCCCGTCAAGGATGCCAGAGACACCCCCGCCGCCCCTTCTGCCCGGCACAGCTGCCTTCTCCCTTTTGGGCTGCTGGCGCTCCTCCCGGACGAGGGGAGCAAGGCCCCTCCCGGGACGGGAGGCGCTCCCTGTGGGCTCCTTCCCCCCCTCTCTCTCGGGGAGCCTGCTGGGTGGGTTTGCAAAGGCCGGTGGGTCTCCCCCGCCCCCCAGGGAGTGAGAAAGAAGCACCACCAAGGGCTGTGACGGTCTTTCTCTGGCAGGAGGAAGGGGCAGCTGGCCAGAGGACCCCAAGATGTCTCCCCACCCCAATAACTAAATAAAGTAAGTAAATAAGCTGGCTTCCACCCCCAGGGTCTGGTCTTCCGTACCCATTCCCTCCTGCGGAGGCACAAAGAGGCCGAGCAAACCCCCAGGACTGACCCCTCCCGGGCCGCTTCCAAGGCGAACGTTCAGGAATGGGCGGCTCGCTTTCCTTGGGAGTCCTGCGGGAAAGAGACAGCTGGCCGGACGTCCTTTGCAAGCCGCCTGGAGGGCTGTTTCTGTCGTGGAAGGGCGCGTGGAAACCCATATATACAGGAGCAGAAGCTATCGCTCTCTCACGCCCCGACAGAAGCGCCCAAGACGGTCCAGATGCCCGGAGCTGAACGAGCCCCGTACGAG